AAGATGATCAAGTCAAACCCTACTGTGGTTACTAGACCATGGCACTAAGTGCCACATCCAGTCTCATCTTGAAAACCTCCAGGGACAGTGAATCCACCACCTCCCCGGGCAGCCCATTCCAATGCCTGATTACTCTTCTGTTTCCCATGTTCTGCCAGTGAGAAGCTGCACAGGAAACCAAGAGGCAGCAAGGCAGGACAGCTGATCTGAACTGGCCAAAGGGATATTCCATGCCATAGAACATCATGCCCAGTATATAAACTGAGGGATCACTGCTCAGGGAGGGGCTGGGGGCATTGGTCAGCAGGTGGTGAGCAACTGTATTGTGCATCCCTTGTTCTCTGGAGTCCTGGTTACTCTCCCTCTCCTTATCATTGCAATTGTTATTCATAACAGGATTTTCTCTCCATCTCAAGATGAGGTTTTTTTTATACAAGGTTATCTGTTAGATAGGAAAACTTTTACTCCACATTAAAGCCCCTTAATTGCACGATCTTATTTGTGAAACTGATGATCAGAAGATAGATAATCCGTTTTTAGCCCTATTTGTGACTCAGCACCAGTGGGCAGTGAGTCCAGCAGGTTTGTCCAGGAACCACCTGAGGATAGCAAAATAAAAGCCTTTTCTCCAGTCATTTGTATCTCAAAGGATTTCCATGTTCTAATATGAGGAAGAAGATGCTCACACTGCAGCTGGTCCAAAGTCTCCCTCCTCTGGTTGCAACTGTTGTTGGACAACCAGCCACTCACACCACACACATACTCCCAGCATTGGCTGCAGGGACAGGTCATTCAACTCTTCAGCCCATACAACAAGCACAGCCCTGTGTCTCAAGGAGCCCTATTCCTGATTTTCTACCTGTAAGAAATACAGAGGCTGCAAGCTCAGAACCCCTCTGGGAACTTGCAGGATAGAGACAAGACAACCATGGAGTGCACGACATTGGAAGCAAATGCAAATCCTTCTTTATTTTAGCTCATGTCAGTTTTTCATAGAACCACTGCTGGCTACAGCAGTCCATTCAGTGCAAAGCAAATCATTCAGAAGTCAGTTTTTTGGGTTACTCCTCAAAACACCTCCAAGTAGATACATAAATTATTTATAAATATGCAAAAAAATTACTGCAGAAACAATAAGTAGTGTAGCATTCACAGTGGAATTTCCAGTAGTAAAAAAAAATAAATCCCAGTTGTCACAGGGTCAGCTTCTTTGGTGGGAACTGATCACAGCGCATTTCAATTCCATGTGAAGAACAAAGAGAAATGATCTACCAAGCAAAGGCTCTTGTCCCTTACTTATCCTGAGCTTGCTGTGAGTAAAGACAGGCTTTCACATCTCAGCTCCTGAACAAAAAGCAGCACAGCAAATCAGATGGTACAAAACATTCCTGGGTCAGGGGGAATCTGCTCCCACCCTAGATGCAGTCAATACCTGTGTTGCCAGCTCATCTCAGAAGGGAAAAGAAACGGTACTACAGAACACAACTGTCTCAGGAAAGGTTCCCCCTTTCTCCCAAGGCCAGTTGCAACATTCCATGTCATATCTACTGAAAGAAGTTGCAGCATTTTTGCTTCCCTTCAAACTAGGTGTGTGTTGAGGGAAAAATAATCTTTTCCCCATACTATACACTATGAAATACTTTGACCCCAGTGAGCCCAGCAATCCCAGAAGCTTCATCTGGCCTTAGCCCATTCTGTGACATTGGAAGGTGCACGGTGCTTTGTCAGTGGAGGTACTGCACAGATAGGAGACATTCCAGCTGCTACAGATCTCAAGACAGGTAGGTGGGGTCTCTGAATTCGGGGTCAGTCAGCAGAGCAGCAAAACCAAGCACAGCAGCAGAGATGGGGCTACAGCACAAGGATAACTGTCAGCATTCCACAGCTGTCCGGGAATATATGGTTGTCCTTGGGAATACATGTGTATGTGCACTGTTTTCTATTAAATACTTTTAATTCCTCATAATTATTATTATTATTACTAGTCCCTCCCTACCTCAACACCTTGATTCAAGGGCAAATCCGAGTCATTTCAGTGTGTGCTGCTCCTTCCCTTCAGGATGCAGAACGAGAACCTCCAGGCCAGTCATCGGCAGAGATGTTGCACCAGCTGCTCAAACTGCTCCCGCTGCTGGTAGATGTACATCTGGGTGTCCCAGAGAGCGTTCACCAACACAGTGTCATTCACCTCATCCAGCATCACCTCTGTGTGCAGCTGAGGGCTGAGCCTGCAGACAGCAAGACAGCATCACCAGCTGGGCATGGACATGGAGGGGACCAGGCACGAGCTTGCCCAGCCCATTTTGGCAGCTTTTGTGTACTTAGGTGAGATTTTGATGGAAACGTGTCCTGAATATTTGTTCTGATGTGGGTTTCTGTTGATACACATCACTTTGGCCAAGTGGTTCCTGCTGCCAGACTGCTGCCTTGCCCTTATCTAGCAGACCTGCAGGGCAAAGACCTTCCCCCTTCTTCAAAGCCCACCCACACTCCAAGGCAAAGCCACAGTTCAGCAACTGCAGCACATGAGGGACAAGCCTTGAGCAGGCTGTGCACAGTGGAACAAGGCAGGATGTATATCCCTAGGGATCATGTCAGACAGCATTCCCTGAGCCTCCACTCAGTAGCCCCAGACAGGACTCAGTGCATTGGCTCACACAGTGAGCCACAGCATCCTCTGTTGTGCCACTAAGACGTGAGGAGAGGGGGCAGGGGACAGGTCTGGAGGGAATGCTGTTTGGGATGACACATGCCACAGCCAGGTCTGAAGAGAGTGGGGTAAAAATAGGTCTGTGTGGAGAGCAGAAAGGAAGCTCCTACCGGAAATATGGGACATCCGTCATCTCACACCAGGCCCTGGCACGATCCACAGCTGGGCCATCTGCGTCAGTGCACTGCAGGAGAAACAGGCCCACACTTACAGCCAGACTGCCACACTGCCCTCCCCCTGCCTGCCAGAGGCTTCCCTGGCACCAAGTCCAACTGCACAAGCTGCAGAGGGAGAGGGAAAACCAGGAGCAAGTGCATCCTGGATGGTACTGCTCACTAAGAGTAGAGTGGCTTTGTTTTCTTTTATTTTTACCATAAGAATTGTGGTCTTGATCCTTGGGACACTAAGAATTGCACCCTACAGATCCTTCACATATCATGGCACTGAGTGGATTCCATTAAAGAAAATCCCAGGATGATCTGAATGACAACCTCCTTGGGATTTCACCTCTATCCATTCTGTCCAAGCCCTGTAACAGCACAGCCTGTGTTTACCACCTGGGCTATCCTGAGACAACTTCCTTGGGAGCCCTGAAATAAAAGACAGGGCAAGCAGAGACACCTCTCTGGGCATTTTCTGACTAAGAAGCTGAAAAGGAGATAAAGCAACAGAATTCAGATCATAGTCAGAACCTCAGTTCTGATCTTTCTGGCAGAAAACAGAAAACTCCATTTATCTGGAGTGTTTTCATGCGCAGCATTTAATGATGTTTCTGAAGCATGCAAGCACATATGCCTATTACACACTCCTAACCACATCTCTCAACTACTGCTTTTTATTAGTGACTCTCCCACTTCTCCAGCATTTACTCATTTCCCCAGTGGGGATAACAAAGATTTTTCTAAAAGAAAATTAATTGCTGTTTTCTGAGGTGTGATTAATTTTTATTTGGCCCACACTGCTCTGATGATAATCAATACTCCTTGGAAAGATCCTGAGTTTCACAAACTCGCACCTGCAAATGTTCCTAAGAGCCACTGACCACCATCCTGTCCTCAGCTCCCTTCAGCTACAAGAACATCCCTCAGCACTCAAAACCCCAAAAAAGCAGAGAGGTCTTCAGACCTGCTGTGCTCCCACAATTCTTAAGTTATCCACTACATCCGTGGTCAGAGCAATTCCAAGGAAATAGAACTGATTTCCAAAAGGAAGAAGCTGAAGACTGGAAACCTTTGGTTCCTCCCTGCAAGCAGCCTCAGCAGCCTTCCCTCATCCCCTCCTCCCAGTACTCACACAATCCACCACCATCTTGCCGAGCTCCCTTGCCCCGAAGACGGTCTTGGCCAGCTCCCAAGGGTTGGAGGGGCGGAAAACATCCACAGAGCTCACCGGGACCTGTGGAGGCTTCCCTGTCCCCAGGGAGACCACCAACCCCAATTTTCTTACTTCCTGTGTCTGACCCTGTGGACAAACAAAGGATCTGTTTGCAAGGAACAGCAATGAAGGAGGAACATGTCTTCTTGCAGTGGTCCTGGGGAAACTCTGAAAGCCAAGGCAAAAGGCGTGGTAGCATTTTCTGTCCCCATCCACCTCACTAAGTATGGCCTGGTGAGACAGGTGTAACCCACAGGACTTCAGCACTGCACTGTTCTGTCCCTTATACCCCTGACTGCACCCAAACCCATGGGATCACCCCAAAGATGAGTCCTAGGACCAGATCACCATGAAATGGTGCAACTCTTCAGTCATTTGGGCAACACACCTACAGGGAGCAATAGCTGCCAGTAGTTATGCATCTTTTTGAAGATCTTCCCACACCACATAAGGCATTCGCTCTTCAGCCTTAAAGAGTACTCTACCCTTGTCTTCTCCATTCATTTTTGAGCAGAAAAAGACCCTGCAGACCTGCATCAAGGACCACACACAATCATCAACTGAATCATCCTTGTTCAGAGTAGTAAGGAGAGGCTGATGGGGCTGTCTCCTCATCTCACACCCTCGTCACAAGAGGTATTTCACCTCCCTGACACCATTCCATTCTTCTGCCATGCTGGCAGTGAGAGGACTAGAGGAAATGGAGACAGGGGAGATTCAGATTAGATGTTAGGAAAAAAATTTTCACTGTTAGGGTGGTAAGATACTGGAACAGACTGCCTAGGGAGGTGGTGGAGTAACCATCCCTGGAAGTGTTTAAGAGGTGTCTGGATCTGGCACTGGGTGATACGGTTTAGGGGTTGCAATGGTAGTGCTAGACGGGACAGTCAGACTTGATGATTTTAAAAGTCTCTTCTAACCTTGACAATTCTATGATTCCCAACACATATCCCCCTCCACACACTCCATTCTAGGGTGCTGCACTGCTAACTTGTTTATCCACTAAGATGCATCCATTGCCAAACCCACTTCCACTTCTAGAGAGGTTTCAGTGGAGCCAACAAAGCCCCAGTTACCAGTCCAGGCTAAGATTTCCCTCACCTTTTTGGTCAGCGTCTTGTTGTACTCATGGATCTCAGTCATGGCATCGAGGGTTGGGTTGTTGGCCAGCAGTCCACCATCCAGAAAGCGACCTATGGGCCTGAAGTACGTGGGAGCTGCGCCGCTGCAGCGGGCAGCACGCCACACAAGCTGGTCTGGAGGGGAGAAAACAAAAGGCCTCTTGCAGCAACCTCACTGTGTACAAGAAGTGCACTTCACCAACACAAAGAAGGAAGGATTGCAATCCCAGAAAACCCTGCCCTACATAGTTGTGCCTCTTTCTCCCAACAGTAGGGCCTCTGCTTGGATGCACAGAATGACTTTGTGGGGGGTTTTAAAAGATGTTCTCACCACTTTCTATGTATCTTGGGTCAATTCACTCTCTATCTGCTTCATCGCTGCTGTTTTGATAGTGAAGCAGTTCCATGTGCCAGACAAAGCAGCAAGCTGGTGGAGCTGTATGCTGCAGTTACAGAGCTTGTCCATGTTAATCTGCCCCTGAGAGCCCAAGGAAAGGGACTGACTGTATGCAGGACTCCTCTAGCAGACCCTATCCTCATGAACCTCGCTATCCACACCCTGCTCCTGGTACAAGAGAAGCCAGGGAAGGACAAGAGAGGAGAAAAGGGAACCACCAAGCTACAAGTGAGGATCAGGGATGAGACACTACTGCTGGGATGCCCTGATTTTTAGAGCAATGGGAGGAAGGAAATCTTTTATCTCTGAGGGGTGGACCCTAATCTGCCAACCAGCTGGACTCCTGCGTGCCATCACGTACCTTCTGGTGGAGTGAGTGGTTTGAAAGATGCATTTGTCTTGTATTCAGTGGAGGTTCTTGTCTCTGGTACAGGGTAATTCCGGAAAAGGTGGAGCTCAGCTGGCTGTCGGTCACACAGTGTGCCTGTCACCATGACCCTGAGGGACAGGACAGGGGAGAATACAAGCAAAATGGACCAAAAATACTTATGGTTTCAACAGTCTGCACATCATGCTCCTCCAGATCTGCTCTAAGGACAGCTGAGCATCTCTGCTGAGAAGGGTCTAGAGCACATGCAGGACAGCATCAACCAGCACAGCCACAGGCAGGACTTACTTGGGTTTCTTTACATCAGTCATTTTGGTGTTTTCCCCAAATTCCTTCTTCAAGAACTCATTCAGGGGCTCCGATTCGTAGGGCCGAGACCCTCGGAACACCATGTCCTTCATGCGGAAGTACAGGCAGCGCATGTAGTCCATGGACTTCCCTGAGGTGGGCAACAGCATTGGCAGGAGCAGGGGTGGGAGGAAGGGCAGGCAGAACAAACAGCACATCAGAGCAGAGCTAGAATTTCCCAGGACAAGCAGGAGATGGGAGGCATCATTCCCAAACTCATCCCCTTCCCAAGCTGCCTGTCATCTGCTCAGTCTGCAGCAGCATGACTGTGAAGGACTACAGAGGAAAGACAAGCTTGGAGCAGTTTCCCACTCCCAGAAAGTGTCCATCACCTTTGCTCTAAGGCCTTGGAGAGCACAGGAAGAACAGAACAATGCACTCTGCCATCACACACTTCCAAACCCCAGAAAGCTGCTCAAAGTCATCTGATGTGAGAAGCGAGCACAAAGCCAGGTCTAGGCTTTCTTTCACTAAGGAATCATCCCTTCCCTCCTTTGGCAGGTACAAAAGATCTTAGTCAGGACTCAGAGAGGCAGCTCCCACACCACATCCTCTCCCCACAGAGGAGCAAGAAGGAGCCCATTATTTGCACTGTCCTTACCATGTACAATAGCCAAGGCCAAGATCCCTCCAGTGCTGGTCCCCGCGATCCAGTCAAAAATCTCACGAATGGGACGGCCTGCAGCCTTTTCAATAGCCAGGAGGAGCTGGATGAGCACAAGGCCCCGGATGCCCCCTCCATCCAGGCACAGGAGGCGGTCCTGGCTGGAGACAGATAAGATACAGACAACTGGGAACAGAGGGACAGTTACGAATCGCAGCACACCATGGGGGAACATGGCCCTGGGGATTGGAAACTACGCCAGTAACAAGAACAATGTCATCAGTGAATAAATCAATCCAGCAGGGCTTGTTCAACATCTTTCTCGGTGACATGAACAGTGGGATTGAGTGCACCCTCAGCAAGTTCACTGATCACACCAACCTGTGTGGGGCAATCACATGCAGGAGGGAAGGGATGTGCCATCCAGAGAGACCTTGACAGGCTTGAGAGGTGGAACAATGCAAACCTCATGGAGTTCAACAGAATGAAGTGCAAGGTCCTACAACTGGGCCATGGCAATCCCAGGCACAGCTACAGGTTGGGTGGGGAAGGAATTGAGACCAGTAATGAGGAGAAAGACTTGTGAGTGACACTGGATGAGAAACTCACAATGAGTTGCAGTGTGAGCTCAGCCTAGAAAGCCAGTTGAATCCTGGGCTGCATCAAAAGAAGTGTGGCCAGCAGGTCTAAAGAGGTGATTCTCCCCCTCCACTCTGCTCTTATGAGACCCCACCTGAAATACTGCATGCAGTTCTGGTGCCTTCAACACAAGACAGACATGGAAGTGTTGGAGCAAGTCAGAGGAGGCCACAAAGTTGATATGAGGACTGGAGCATCTCCCCTATGAAGACAGGCTGAGGAATTTGGGACTGTTCAGCCGGGAGAAGGCTGTGTGGAGACCTCATAGTAACTTTTCAATATCTGAAGGGCCTACAAGGGAGCTGGAGAGGGACTCTTTATTAGGAACTACAGTGACAGGACAAGGGGTAACAGGTTCAAACTGAAGGAGGGGAAGTTTAGGTTAGATATTAGAAAAATGTTTTTTTTCCTGCAAGGGTGGTGAGACACTGGCATAGGTTGCCTAGGGAAGTGGTGGCTGCCCCAACCCTGGTGGTGTTCAAAGCCAGGTTTGGATGAAGCCTTGAGCAACCTGATCTGTTGGGAGGTGTTCCTGCCCATGTCAGGGTGAGTTGGGATTAGATGATCTGTAAGGCCCATTCCAACCCCTAAAATTCTATCACTCTATGATTCTATGAAGTAAGACCTACCCAAAAAGCTTTGCCAGAGGTGGTGCAACACCCTTTGCTCTTGCACAGCCATCTCTAACCTCTACACCAGAGAAAACGCACACAAGTGCCTTACTACACAGTAATGGGTATTGTGTCATAAATAAACAGCAGACAGCCTTAAATCCTGCCAGCTGCACTTCAGTGCCGACCCTTCCTCCACTCCATGCAAGACGAGGTGTAGACACTGCAAAGACAGTGCAGCAGAGCTGGGTGAGCATCAGGACAGTGTGTGGAGATGGGGAAATCACAAACCCAGACCAGCGCTGGGTGCCCAGCTGACATGGCAGTACAGAGGTGTCACCTGCCAAGTGCAAGCTCCACTGCCATTCCAGGGCTGCAGGCAGCACAGGTGGTGGTCACTTATGGAAACGATTTATTGGAAGGTGCTGGAAAAAACTGCAAGGGCAATGGACATTAAATGCCAGCTCTGAGGATGCCACCCCCACTGGCATTGGGAGGGGAGAATTCATACACAGATTTCACCTTCAAGTTGCACAGGAGCCTGGACAGAAGCTGTTTCTCACTTAGAATCATAGAATCATCAAGGCTGGAGGAGACCTCTAAGACTGTCGAGTCCAACCATGAACCTGTCACTGCGGTAACCCCTAAACCATATCCTCCAGTGCCAGGTCCAGATACCTCTTAAAACACCTCCAGGGATGGTGACTCCACCACCTCCCTGGGCAATATTCCAGTGCCTGAACACCCTGACAGTGAGAAAAGTTTTCCTAACATCTAATCTGACTCTGCCCTGTCTCAGCTCAAGGCCATTCCCTCTAGTCCTGTCCCTGAAGCTATGGCAGGAGAGACCATCCCCCAAGCCCTGTCAGACAGTTGTAGAGTTCCATGAGGTCACTCCTGAGCCTCTTCTCAAGGCTAAACAAACCCAACTCCCTCAATCCTTCCTCACACAACATATGTTCTAGGCCTTTTCTTCCCTCACTGCCCTTGGCTGGACTTGCTTCAGCACCTCGGTGTCCTTTTTAAAGTGAGAGGCCAAACCTGAGCCACACTGAGGTGTGACCTCTCCAGTGCTGAGTCTTGGAGGATGATCACTGCTCTAGTCCTGCTGCCATACTGTGCTTGATCCAGGCCAAGATCCCATTGGCCTTCTTGGCCACCTGTGCACACTGTTGGATCATATTGAACCACTTTCACCAGCATTCCCATGTCCCTTTCTGACCAACACCTCTCTTCCCTACTCCTCCCGAAGCCTGGAGCTGCATGGGGCTGTTGTGTCCCAAGTGCAGGACCAGCACTGAGCTGTACTGAACCTCATGCAGTTATCCTCAGCCCATTGATCAAGTTGGTCCAGGTTTCTTTGTAGAGCACTTACTTTCTTCTGCTCTCAGTGGGCGTGTCCACACTATCTGGTGCCTTCAACATCTGTCCAAGTGTTGTGGAAACATACAGAAGGTCCTGGTACCCTGGAGGGGCATGAACACACAAAGATAAAAAAAGCAGAGACTACCAGTGTGGTAAGCGATTTCCAGCATAACCACAGAATACCCAACTCCCTTTCCCACTGAACAAAGCTCCCTGACGGAGACACAAGCCATCTTAACACCCACAACCAACAGGTACCCCCCAGGATAAATTCCACACCAAAGAAGAGCAACACAATCCATCAGAGCAGACAGCTGGAGATGCACTGGCAGAGACAGAGGATTTTTAGAAGCAGATGATGACACAGTGGGTGAGAGAGAAGGCAGAGCGTAGCAGCGTGCCCACTACGCAGTGTTGCAAGCTGTTAAGGTAAAACCTAAACCCACTCCTCGAGGTAACCTAGGCAGGAGAGCTGTGATGACAGGGTGGCTTATCATTACCCCTCAGCTGATGTTCACCCAGGCCACTCTGGGTGCAGGGCACCGATCCAGGCTAGGTGAGAAACCAGCCTGTGAAACCAAAAGAAGAAAGAACAGGGGGAGAGAAGTTACATACTCCTGCCCTCACCCAGGCCAGAAGGTGGTCGTGAATGGCAACGAATATGGTGAAGAGTTTCCTCAAGGAGCAGAGTCCATGATGAAAAAGGGTCTTGCTCTGTCACTGCAGCAGAGCTGAAAATGGTGGGGGGGAGCTGTGTTCACCAGGCCATGGTGAGAAGAAAGTCCTAATGTCACCAGCCAGTGAGATTTGTGGTGACACAGACACACTCCAGGGATGTCCTCTAGCTACACAGGAGAGCCTGTGCAAAGTAAACCTCCAACCTGAGATGGGATGTGATCCACAAGCAGCTGTAAGCTGCCTCTATGCTCCTCTCAGGAGGGTCAGAGCCTACCTCCAAGTAAATGCACCCACTGCCTATTCCATAACCCCTCCCACTGCCTCTGCCTGAGCTCTGGAGCTCCCCAGGGGGAAAGTCTGGCACCTAGAATAAACCCACGTGCTTACTCACACAGCCTGAGCAGTATAGAGCACAAGCTATGACACAATCATGTGTCCTAAGGCAGTGTTTTCCTGTGCATACCAAACCCTGTGATCAAGGTGCTTATCCTCAGGCTTCCCCCCTTCCCTCTCCCAGCTGTTTGCCTCCAGGATCTGAATAAGTGACACTTCCAGTCTTGTGCCCAGCACAACACTGGGAGGTGTGAGTATCTCCCCTTCTGTACATGACCCAGTGGATAAAGTATATGCAGGCAACTAAGTGCTGCACCTCTTCCCCATGAGGGAATCAGTCTTCCCTTCCCTTTTTAGAGAGTGGCATTGTGACAGGTCTACAAAACAAAAGTTTTGAGTACAAGAGTTTGTAGAGTACACACACAAGAAAAGCAGAGAAAAGAGATAGGATCCTGCAACAGCTGAACGAGGACAGTCATGACAGTCACCAAAGGGTGAGAGCTAGGACAGTCCCCAGAACACGGCCCAACTGAAGAGATCCAAGACAGCACTGTGAAGCAAGAAGGGAGGAGAGCGAGGGAGGGCCAGGGAAGGCTTTACCTAAGCTGTTGAAGCTGCTCCGTGAGGAAGGTTGGCCTTCCAGGAGGGAGGCGGCAGATGGCGCCAGGCTTGGGGACTCAGGGTTGGGTGGTGGGTGGCAGCGTTCGGTCCCTACAGTTTGCAGCAGGTCTAAGAGCACTTTCCGGTTTGCACCTTAGGTGACGGAGGGGGAGTTACAGATCAGAGAGAGAATCAGTGCATGGACACACAGTGGGGAACCATGCTCTGCCGCATTCACAGCCGGCTGGACCCTCACAAAACCTCTGGGATGAGCCAGGGAAGGGGGAAGCACATCCCAGGTATCTCTCCCCAAATAGCAGGCAGCAGAGCTCATGCACAGCAGGAGTACCCAGAGCTGTGCAGCTTCAAGGGTGTGTGCCACACACTTCTTGCCACTGAAGAACAGCCCGTGTCTGCCTGTGCCTGGGCAGCTCCGTTGTGAGCCCGCAGTGCCTGACATCGTGGTGTGAAAGAGGGGGAGTGCGAGTGCATGCCAGCTTTTCCTCTTGCATCCCTGCCTCACAGAGGAGAAATTCATCAAGGGCTGTTAATACAAAGCCTATGCTGCCAGCAAACGAAGTGCCTTGCTTGTGAGCAACTACAAGCTGGGAAAGCACATTGGAGAAGCATCACCCATGCTTGGCATGTTTTCACCTCTCTCCAAGACGCTGTTTTGGCCACCAAGGGGACACAGAATGCTGAGTTCACCCTGTCAGGCTGCTGATGTGCTCCCTCACCTTTGCTGCTCCTGGCTGCCAACAGCCCTGGTGTCTCCCCGAAATCATTGGGGATCTCGACATCTCCTCCAAACACAATGATGGCTTTGATCATATCCAGGTGGTCATGCTAGGGCACAAAAGAAAGCTCAGTCAGGAGCCACACTCTGCTTGGCTACATGATTTCTCATTCCCTCTCCCCTCTTTTCACTAGCCAAGGCACCCACGGAGGATCACCACATAGAAGATGACAGCCAGAATCTCAAAGGATTCTGTCACTGTCTCAACCCATTGAGATAATCCTCTCTCTTTCACAGCAGACTCTGCAGAAAGCTCACCTTCATGGCCAGGTGAAGTGGTGTGTTGCCATCCTGACCGCGGGCGTTGGTGTGGGCACCGTGTGTCAGCAGGACCATGGCGCAGTCGAAACGACCCTTTTTGACCGCAATGTGCAGAGCCATGTCAGCCGTCCGGCTCGTCACGTTCACCTCGGAGCCGTACTCCAGCAGCAGCCGTGTCATCTGAAGCCAAGCATGCAGGAGCCAGGTCAAAAGAGACAAAGAAACCATGACAATCACCTGGGTGCCCAAACAACCTCATGGATGTCATGGCAAGCAGAGCAGGGGAAGAGGATGGAGCCTTAGCCTGTGTACAGCTGGCTGGCAGATACCAGCTGAATTACTTCAAGCACTGGAGATGGGGTTTCTCTGCAAAACCACCCACCTAGTTCTGTGGTAAAAGACTATCTGTCTAGAGCTTCTGAATGTTTTGGGATTTGTATGCAACTATAATGACTGGCTGAGTTTAATGAAGAAAAAATAGTTCCTCTTCAGGTCAAGATCCTTGCAGAATGGAAGTAAAGTTTGCTTTCTGAGCTCTCCCTCATAAGCCAAGCAAATTTAGGTCTGCCCTGAAACGCCCCAGGACATTTCTGAGAGGAATGTGACACTGCAGGACCTGCTACAAGAATGCCTTTTGCTTGCAACAAGCACCATTCAGGTGCTCTACCATAGGATATCACTGACCTACCCACCTCTGGCAGAAGATGGACCACCACCCACATGCCACTCTGTGCCTACCTCACATTTCCTCACAGTTTTCAAGGCATCACAGAGTAGTTAGGGGTTGGAAGGAACCTCTGGAGATGTCCAACCCCCATGAGTTTTTCTGGATCTGTTTGCTCCCAGGAAATTGGTAGGTAATAAGAAGAGAGCTCTCTCCAGGGGCAACTGTGCTTGCAGGGACTGTGCTGCAACTTCCTCAACAAAAGGGAAAAGGGACAAGCTGGTGGTTTCACAGCCATGGATGAAGTACAAGGGATGACCCCACCAGCTTATTTCACTGCAGTGCTCCACTGCTCTGTCCCCCGTGGCAAACAGCACCAGTGGCACAGGGCAAAGAGAATCAAACACTGGGCTGCTGGGTGGGCTCTGACCCCCCCAGGGCTCTGCATGTGCATCAGAAAGAAACAGGCTAGCAGCAGGAGGAATTAACTAAGTACTGGGTGGTGATACAAAGAAGCTAAAAAGATTAATCAATGATGTACTGGAAATTGCTTACTAAACAACTGGCACTGCCTGCTTGTACTTGCTCCACATTGGCATGCACACTTCAAAAGGAAAGGATATTGACCAGAGCTAAGGAGGAATTGATAAGAGGAGTAGGCCCCAAGGAAAGAATTTAAGGAAGCACTGGCTGAGTAAACAAAGTAGGCTCCAAAAGGCAATTAAGGGCCTGTTGAGTGAATAAGGGAAGAAATAAATCAAGACAGTAGTTCACAACAGGGTGTTACCTTATCTTACCAAATGTATAGAACACTAAATTCAGGATTGCTTTAGCTTATTAACACATAATAGTGCTGAGTTAGCAAAAACAAGTATAATGTGCATGTGCTAAAGGATAAGGTGAAAAGTTTAAGCTGATGAAGACTACTAGCCTTCCTCTTGAAGACCCCTGCCCACGACCACCTGAAGATACTGTGCAAGTGCAAACACATGGAAATGAGTTTAGAGCTCATTATAATA